CATCCTCGTCAAACCTGATGCGTGACCGCGGTGATGCGCGCCTCTTGGACGGTGGTGCCGCGAACGGGGCCAAACGGAGGCGGCTTTGAACAATCCGCCCACGCACCCGTCGGCGACGGCAACAACAACCCAACCCCGCCGCTTTCCTACCATCACCACCGTCCGCGTTGCCTCCTCTTATTCTGGTCGACGACCACGCCCTCTCCATTGCCTTTGTCGGTGTCCCCGTTGCCGCGACACGGGCGCCGCTGGCGCCTGCGCATCGTTCCAAAGCGCCGCCGGCGGCGGTGGGTGTCGTCGTTGCCGTCTCCGGCGCGAGGAGATTGGGTCCGTACCCTCTGAGGTCGAGCGCAAGCGTCTCAAAAGCCTTCGCCCCGACACGAGCGCAACCACCGTCGAGTTGTGAATATTTCACGTTCCAGTGCGCGTACGGGCAGCGACATGCAAGGGGGAGAGCGAGAGTGGGATCAGAGGGGCGGGGCTCCTGAAGGGATATACTGAAGTAGCATACTCTGAATGTCTGTTGGCTTTCGCGTACTGCACTTTGGGGGTTGTAAACCCCCCTTTTTCAAGTGACAGGTACAATAGCCCAAGTGCCTCTAGTCAAAGAGAGATCCTGGATCCTACGTGCAGGCATTGCCGTTGGGCTGCGGGATAGTCTGTACCATCTTCGTTTGCAGTGTATGGTATTTGGAGGTTGACCCGTCAGTTGGATCAGTACGGACATTAGAAGGTACTGGGCGGAGAACGGAACGGTTTATAATGTGAAGACAACAACAACAATATGTGATCGATCGTGGTTGACCATGGTTATTTGGCGTTGTCAGATGCTATCACATGGCGTCATGCTAAATTAGGGCGTTATGCCGAGGCATGTACCCTTCCCTCTGTTCAATGCGCGTACGATCCGATGATCATGTGTGCTTGGGATCTTGGGAGTTGGCTTGGAAAAGTGTTAAAAACCAAGAGATAGAGAACAATGGAAAGCAAGATCAACGTGCATCTACCTGTGGTCGGACAAGAGAGTTCCACACAACATAGAAACGTGGTTGATTCTGAAGAAAGGTTTGTCAGGAAAATCGTGCGTCGAGACCACCAGTAGTCGGACACGGTTTGACCTGAATACAATTGCAGCAACTAGTCTGCGTAGCAGTAGAAAATAATCCATCTTTCCTTGGCATGTATTCTCTTGTTCTAGAAATATTCCGGAAGCACGCTAGGTCAAGGTTGACCGGGACATCTATGTAGAACGTGTGTAGCTTCTGGAAGCCTTGTGAAAACTTCTGGTTCCTTCTGTATGTAGCTTCTGGAAGCCTTTCTGGAAACTTCTGGTTCCTTCTGTAAGCTTCTGGAAGCGTTCTAGATCTAGGTTGCAGTTGATACTCTTCTAGAACGTAGGAGGGCTTCCAGAAATCATTCTGGAAGCATTCTGGATCTTTCGTGTGATTGGCTTATTTGTCCGGTATTCGAGAAGAGTGGTGCAGCCCTAAGCTCGCCCACTCCTCTCACTCCTCTTCAGTACCAGCAACATC